TCTCGCGTCGCCTCCCGCGAGCCCTTCGCCCGCCGCTAGCCTCTCCCACGGCCAGCCACTCCTCTCTCTCTTTCTCTCACAGGTAAAATTTCAAACTTTCTTGAAACTGTTCTTGGACAATTTACTGTTTCAGTTTAATTAATTAGTTTAATTAAGTTAGTTTTAGTTAATTTTAGTTTATTCTGATCCAATTTTAGTTAATTTCAGTTTCGTTAATTAGTTAATTAGTTAATTTAGTTTAATTATTTAGTTAATTTAGTTTAATTATTTAGTTAATTTAGTTAAGTTTAGTTAATTATAGTTAATTTTAGTTTATTCTTGTTCAATTTTAGTTAATTTTATTTTATTTCAGCTTGTTATTTATGTTTTTTTGCGATTTTATATGAACTTAATACACATTTTTGTGAATTATTATAATTTAATAAATTAAAAAATAGGTAAACGTCTAGGCATACGCCTAGGCGCTAGGTCCCGGCTCCAACGCCTAGTCCGTCTAGTGCCTTCTGTAATATTGGTTTTGAACCCCATTGAGTGTTTAGGTTCAAGTAAAGGTTGCGGATCTTAAATCTGGTCTGGTCTTCCAACGAAAGAAAGGTTTCAAATACAAGATTCCCTTGTTTGTCAATAGAAGCAACTAGAAACATATCAGCATGCTCAGTTTTTTTATCTGTTCAGTACTGTAATAGAACCAATACATAAATCTCTAGTTAAAACTCGATCATAATGGTATAATAGTAGATTTATCAGCAATACCTCTGCTGGAAACAGACGCATGAGTAAAAGAACATACTCCTCTAGAAGAAAGAAAATTGATCAGCTATTTTAACAAGTGCTTCCCTGCAAACATCCCTGAAAGTGCTTACCAGCAATCCCTTCAACCATGGCTTCTATTTATTTTAGCTCTTTTGTAAGAACTTGAGTAAATCAACCATGGCTCTACTGCAACCCAAAGTCAGAGCTTGTCCCTCTTGCCCATTTCATATAGTAGTTTGACCGGCCACCACCATCTCATTGTCAACAAGTCAAACATCAAGATGCCAAGTGGTGCAGAAGCAAAATTTCCTTCCTATCTGGGATCCAAAATTACTTGGGTGCACCCCCTAAAACTTGGCAAAAGGAAATGAGGCATGCTACAAATTACTTTCCACTCTGGAAATCAGGCTGAATGATCTAGCTCCAATACAAAGATGGAAGTGATCCAAGCACCCAGAGCAGTTTGAACTTCTCCAATGTGGAAGAGTCGACTGTAGAAACTGAACAAGCGAGAGCACTGAGTAGGGGCATCAACAGGTTGACAACACCAAACGTGTTGATCTTGAACAACCGTTCTGACGCCATAGCTAAGAAATAGTTGATGTCATCAAGGCGCGCATGGTTTATACAACTCATTAGGAATATAACTTAAAAATATCGGAATAATGCCTTTGTACAACTTCTTACATTAATATTTGTACCAAAAAGGAGAAAAAATAGTCTGAAACTGATTGCAGAGAACAAAAACTTATCACATTGCCAAGAATGGTAAAGTCTCTAGCTATGTATGCAAGATCTCCAGCTATTAGGAGTTTTCGATAGGCTAAATTAATATTTATCAAGATGTGCACCCTTTTTATGCTTAGTAACAGCGAAAAAGATCACAAGCTAGTTCTCTCTGGTTGTGTCTAAGCATAATGGCAAGGACGCCTCGAAAAGTATGATTCAGGACCACAAAAGCTCCTAGCAGCTCAAGACTCCAGCATACATGGTTGGAGACTTTACCATCATTGACAATGGAATATAGGTTTTGGTCTTTGCAATTAAGTTGACACTATTTCTTTCCCTTTTTTTTTGTATGAACATTAACAGAAGGGAATGTGAATGTCACAGTTATAATACTTACTAGTCTATGACGTTACCTTTCCAATGAGGTTTGATATACAAAACAGCAAAACAGGTGCTCGTTGACAGAATCATCTACTGCCTAGCGATGAAGCTGGAACTTGCTCAGGTTCAGAATATTCGGAGATGATGCTTTCGACTTGGTGATCAACCCTACTCACTGCTCTCGGTTACTCATTTTTTGCAGTCGACTCTTATTAGAGGAATTCCAGCTGCTCTGGATGCTAATATCACTTACATTCGTGTGTGGGAACTGTATCATTCAAGCTGCTAACAATAAGGCAACGGAATTTCCAATATGCCTCATTTTTTACCAAGTTTGCTAGAACTGCCCCCAAGAAATTTTGAAATTTGAATCCTAGATACGAAGGGGAAGGACTGCTTCTAGCTAGATTGGCAAGAGGGACTTTGGCACTTGGCACCTTGATGTCTCAGCTGCTAGCAATGAGATGGTGGTGGCTAGTGGACCACAATATGAGATGGGCAAGAGGGACAAGTTCCAGGTTAGATTGCAACAGATTCCATGGTCTATCTACTCAAATTCTTACCGAAGAGGTAAAATAAGTAGAGGCCATAGTTAAAGTGGTAAGCATGTTTAGATATGTCTGCATAGTAGTACCAAATGTAGCTAATAATTTTATTCCTTTTAGAGTTCATTTTTTTCTCCCCTGGATATGTATGGGCCAAAATTCTTTATCTTTAGAATGTCTCCTCTTTACATTATTCCTCCACTGCAATTAGGTCTATTAGTCTTGTTTAACCAACAAAAATTTTAACGGGAGAAAATTCACAAATCCTGTCAAATTTATCTTAGTTTTTGGACTCTTTCAACTAACTTCATTACTGAAGTACCCACTAATTTACCTCTCGATCAGGGGAATATAATTAGGGGTATGCACATGTGAAGAACAATTGAAGTTGACGAGTATTTTCTATCTTTTGGAGGAGTATTTATTCTTTTTTCTTCTCTCAATGTATTGTTCAATGCTTTCATCTTCTCTTAGGAAAGTCTCCTCTTTATATTATTCCTTCGCCACAATTTAAGTCAATAACTCTTGATCAATAAGACAATAACTAACATAATTTACAGGGAAAGAATCATCAAATTTCAATCCAATTTATCTATCTACATTTGGTTTTTTCCAGTAACTCCGTTATTGGAAAATCCTATGGCAAGATTGTTAATCCCTTTACAGGGTCATAAAGTGGAAATATATTATATCATTCTATCACAGCATCTGTTTTATAAAGTAATTAGATGGAAAATATCCAGTAAAATATTTCAAACTGCATCTATTTGAACATTAACCACATGTTGATACTTTAGGAAATGCAGAAAAGAATTCACCTGAAATCTCCTATCACGACCTTGCTTTGCGCTACCTCCTGCGGAGTCACCTTCAACTATAAAGATCTCTGGAAATTTTGGTCAACAAAAGCTGTTTCAGAAATCATTCCTTGGTCTCCATAATATGAACTAAAGTTACATCTAAGAAAGATGCTTATTAGGAAAAGTAATTGCATAAAGTTAAGTAGGTAGATTTAAAGAAGATAATCAAGTTAGATCGCAGAGCAACTCCCTTCTTGCTTAGAGACCTAAACTTATTAACTCAAATGAAAGTTGACTATAGTGGACCATGCCATGTTACTCAACAATCAACTATTAAATGTTGGACAGTGGACTAAGGTTTGAGCCAGTTTCAGCACACACTCCCTCGAAAGGTTCAGATTTCAATTCTGACCTCAATATATGTTCTCAACATTCTTAGCTAAATATAAACTGATATATGAATCACAGATCTCAAAATGAAATATTCGCTTAATCAATAGATACCACTAAACCGTATAACTGTAAGTGCTATTCAAACATCTCACAAAGGCATATTTGATAGTCCTCTATTTGACATTCTTTATTTGTGTAATTACTAGTTAAGTTATTAATATCCGAGAATTTGGTGAATGTACAGCAAAATAGAAAAACATGCAAACAATATTAGAATGTCACCAGACTCTTCAGGATTTGTAGCTGAACAATCAGCAAGCTTTCCTGGAAGAGAAGAAGACTTTAGAACACTTTTTGTCCTGACCAGTTCTCGAGCTCGTTTGGCTGCCATAGCTGCCTACAAAAGGGGGAAAGAATCCAGCAGCTTTTAAGTATTTTGATAACTTTAAACATTGTCCTAACACATAACCTGCCATGAATGCCAACTTCATACAAAAGAAAATTGATAACTGCAACATGTTTAACAAGCTGATAAGCATGCTTCCACAGGAAAGTGAGTTTCAACATAAGTTCGTATCCAGACCACAGTTAGCAGAAGGACGTGGAATTGGCATATAATACATGAAAGATACATGATACAAGGTCCATTGGAAACTTGAAGAAATGTTAATTGTCGATACATATGGCTGTGTTCAATATTGCTTCATTCTTCAATTGATTTTTTTAAATCTTCCTATATCTAATATCAAATTACATACACTTTTCCCAACTTTCTTATATATACTTTAATGGCCTGTTTGGATTTATAGGGGGTGAAGGGAAGTTAAGGGAAACTGAGTGAAGGGAAGGGAAGGGAAGGGAGTTCCCTTCCCCTTGTAAGGGAAACTGAGTGAAGGGAAGGGAAGGGAAGGGAGTTCCCTTCCCCTTGGTTACACCCCAATTTGGGGGGTAACAATTTTTATACTATTAGGGGGTGAACCAAGGGGAACTAGGGTGAATTAACTTAACCACCTCCTAAGTGTTCCCAAACAAGGTGAATGGAGGTGAATGGTTCCCCTCCCTTCCCCTCACCCCCATTACCCTCAATCCAAACAAGCCCTAAAGTTTTTAGAAGTTTTCTTTGCAATATCACAACTGATTACTTAAACTTTTTTGGAAGAATATGATCATCTACAAAGACTTTTAAAAAAGAGTTTCCAAATTTCTTGTACTTTTTTTTTTTTTTGCACATGCCAGACAAGTATGTCATTTGTTAAAGAGAAGTGTTAAGATAAATTGTGTCAAATGCAGTGCCAATGTTGATACCAAATTCCCAAGATAAATGTCCCACTAGTGTCTTCTGGTAACTGTGAGCTAGAGGATAAAACATCAAACGGACCGATGGTAGTGAAATATGTAGAAACAAGGAAGTTGATAAGGCAGAACAAAGAAATTATTGAAAACTAAGACATGAAATGAAAAAATTACCTTGAGAGCATTTAAAGATTTAGATAGGATGGAATCCAGAGCATCTGGATGCAATTCCAAGTACTCGGTAAGATGCTCCTGTACGCATTGTTCAACTACTCTTCGAACTTCTGGATTTCCCAGTCTCGTCTGCCCAATGGAAGACAGCGCATGTGAGCAAAAATGTGCATTTTTTGTAGGAAAGTGAACAAACCAGTGTTTTAAAAACCCGTTATATAACCTGTTTCGTAACTTAACGGTGCCCTCTTATTAGGTAACACACTCATTTAACCCCAAAAAACGCGTTATATTGCATTAAATGTGCATTACGTTGTAAAACCAATTAACATGGGTTTTTTAAGTTAAATTGCATCTCTGATTAGGATGCATTGATGCATCTCCACCGTCCAAATCATTTAAAACTGACCCCTTTTAGTACCAATTATCTCATTCTCTTTCTACAAATATGTGATCTCTTCGCCTCCTCTAACCCAAACCCTAGCTCTTTGCTTGCTCTAAAACTCCTCCATCTATCGGCAGCTTTTGTGACCTGGTGAGGTAAATTTTTTATTTTTCAGTTATGTATCACCCATCTCAGTTTATATCTTTTAAATAAATAGTGATTCTAAAATTACCTTCCAAATTTTAATCTTTTTTATTGCTAATTTACCATAAATCATATCAGATTTGTTGCTTCATTACGCTTCAACATAAATCGTTTAAGATCTGTGACAAAATTAGAGTACCGAGATTAATTAGGGGGTTAACTGTGTTGGTTAGATAATTACTTTCAGTTATTGCTTGATTTTGATTAGGTCTCAGTTTTCAGTTAATACTAGAGTTTGTGAAATTAAGTTTGTTGTATATGCAAATTTTCCTACTATGGTTACATAATTATGTTTAGATTGGTTGATGTAGTGAACTTGATTAGGAATTAGAATATTTTTGTGAAGTTAAGAACTCGAGAGTTGGAAGTGTTTAGACTTGTTTTTATTGCCTTAAACTTGATGATGTTAACGTATTTGATCATTTGATGTGCTTTCTGGAATAGTTGTTTGTCATATATGACTAATTTTTGTTAAGAAATTGTGATACTATATTTTTATATTTGATAATTGTGATGTTATGTTTTGAAAAGTTTGATGATTCTAAGTATTAAAGTCATTATGAATTGTTAGTATTTATAAAATATCTAAATAATTAATAAATAATATAACCTATGTTATGCGTTATATTTTTTTTGCGTTTTATTCCTTAACCGTTAACAAGAGGCCAAACGTTCAATAACTCATTCTCGTTATTTTTAACATTAGAACAAACTTCTTCAAAAATAAATAAATAAAATAAAATACTTCAAAGTCATTAACAATGAAGTTCATGTCACCTTTGTTTGTCCTTCAAACTCTGGATTTGGGACTTTGACTGAGACAATGCATGTCAATCCTTCTCTTACATGCTCTCCACTTAAGCTTATATCCTTCTCCTGGAAGCAATGATTGAATTCAAATAGAAAGAAAAGGTTTTAAGCATAAAAGAGTAACAGAAAGATCTCCAATGGATTGTCAATTTGTCATGATTGCATATTTGGTACAATATAGTTAATGGTTATCATATCATATTGTTTGCTAGATAAAACAAATATTAAATGAGCCAACAAATTATTCCACAAAAAAAGGAAAGAAATAAAGAGAGAGAGAGAGAGAGAGAGAGAGAGAAATGTTGAAATACATCTAATTCGAAGAATTTATAGGGATGAATTATATTTATCCCTCCAAAAATTTTGATTGCATATACCCCCATCAAAGGTTTTCTTCCAACACTTTGACTAAGAATGTTATTAATGGAAGTGCAATGACTGTTTTACCCATACATATAGATCTAGCACTTATCTTTAAAATTATAGTCAATAATTATGGATTATTTTTAATGTATAAAAGTATTAATAAAGCTGCTTTTTTAAGTATAGCATGATAATGCAATAGAAGAACTGTAACTTGCTGACAAATCACAAATTACACTCTGGTAAAACTAAATGGTAAGACACACCTTTATAAGCTTGGACTTCCTTGCCATATTGTTAATTGTTCTGGTTAATGAAGCTTTCATCCCATCTATATGAGTCCCACCATCAACTGTCCGGATGCTATTGGCATATCCCAGCATTGTATCTGAATATGAATCTGAACACCTGTTACAAATGACAATGTAAATAAAAATATATACCAGTTTATGATAGCACATCACTATGATCTATTTCGGATAATGCAGACTTTCATGAACAAAGGTGTTTAGGATGCAAGAAAACTTTAATAGTACACTTTAATAATACGGCTAAACATGATGAGAAGAAGTGAAATTTCTTCACCAAGAAAAACTATAGGTTGCAGTACACCCCAAAAAAAATCCCCTAGAGAACGACATTATGAGCTAGAACACGTATAAACTGTATGCATGACATGAAGCTGTAAGGAAATAGTAAAGCTTCAACACTAAGGATTAATATTACAGGATGGAGTATTATACCACTGGAGGGCAACATCTACTGTAACTCCATCAGTTTCTTTTCGAAAACCAAGAGTATCATGAAGTGGTTTCTGCACAATAGAGTATTTATCACCATTGTGAAGTGAATGTTTCAAGAAAACGAAATGTAGAATAAACTATTAATAATATGAAAGGCCTTAGAATCAACAAATATTACGATTGCGCTATCATGCAAAAAGAATAGCATATCAAAAATACAATCAGATAAAAGAAATTACTTCCCTACAAAATCATGTAAAACATGTGATGAATAAGTGCCAGACTACTGGCACAAAGCATAAACACCACCTCTGACCATGGAAGAAAGTAACAAAAAGTTGAACAGCTGATTGTGAAGCCCAACATGGCAAGCAAAAAAATAAAAAAAACTCCAAATTCATCTTAGCGATTTAAGTAAATGCTTTTATCACATTGGATAAATGTTCTGGAAAGCGAAGATTTGAACGTCATTACTTGCTGCATGTCACTATTTCTTCGTGAAAATCCTAGATATATTTTAATTAAATTGTAGGCAAGTAAGGCCTAACAAGAACCATTATTTTCTAGCATCTTTTTGGATAGCATTTTTTTAACATCAGTTGGTTAGTCCAGAGCTTCCTCTACAGCCAACAACTGATGCATGGATCAATAGTAGCTACCAGAAAAAGGTCAAAGATGTGAAATAATACTTAAGGAAGGCCTCTTGCAGGTAGCTGACTTCTGTTGGAAGCCAACCCCATCACTTTGAGTCGGGGCAAGGGCTTATGAAAGACATCATCAACACAATCTTTTATTTAAGAAAATGTGACAATGTTCATTGATACAGTACTTCATTAGGGAGTCAGACTACGGTGCTGCTTATCACAATAGATAAATAAAAATCAGAATGTACAGTCTATATTCCACAACATAAACCCGTCTAACCAATTCCATGTTCTCATGTTTGTTTGTCATCAATATGCTTAAACAACAAAATAAGAAGCATGAGAGTAGATGCTGATGAAGCAGCATCATTGACAGTGGAAAACAAAGATATTCCAATCAAATGAGAGTCTATAATCATCATTGAGCAGCATCAATATGTTGTATCCCTGGTGAAGCAGAATCATTGAGAAAAATCAATACGCTTAAACAACAAACAGCTGGTTAAACCAAATCAAAATACTTTATAATCAAAGAAAGTGAAAAACAAAGATGTTCCAATCAAATGAGAGTGTCTATGATGACTTCATGATATCATAAAAATTAGATAAACAATTTTTGAACTTCACTATGTCAAGAGTACATACCTTGTCAGTATTTAACCATTTGACATACTCAACCAAACCGCCAGCATAATAGTACTCGTTATATAGTGCCTTTGAATCTCCTTCCTCTTTTTCCAGTGTAATCATAAGCTGTTAGGAAAAAAAATCATAACAATACCATATTTACTGATTATTCAGTCCAAAACTGGCATATTATACAGTAGATTGTCTAGGTAGCAACAAGTTCAAGAAAAGAATTTAAAAAAATCATATTTCTTGTTAGAATAGAAATTATGATCTTATATCCAAAAAGATTTTCAGATTCTTTTAACTATCCCAACATTGACGTAAAAAACATAATGAGTTGCTCATCTTTCCAAATCAACACCAATACATATTCCAGTTAGTTAATGTTGCATCAAAACGGCCCTCTTAAACCATGCTGGAAAAAGGAAAAAGAAAGTAGATCCTTCTTCATGGTTAGCATACTAACATTTGCCACATGATCCACATCTAAGAAGCACAACTAAAAAATGAATCTAGTGTTTGTGTCCAGTACACAGTCAAACACCGACACTTGCGAGGCATTTGCATGACATGCTTTGGACACTGACATCCGTATAAAACTTGCTTGAAGCATGTCAAATCTACAAAACCAAAACCTATCCTGTCCGAGCAAACTAGACCAGTGTTGTCTATGAAAAACTAAAAGCTTCCATGTTGGTGTTCGCTTTAAAAACTCTAATGATGGTGTGTCATACACCATTGCGCCAGAAATCACTTATGCAAACATAGAAGAAATCCTTAGCGGGATGGTAATTTTTACAAAATCCTACATATACCATGAGAGCATATATGCAGTGTAATTCTTTTAAACCCTATAGAATCGTTTAAGCTTAGTTCCTGAGAAAATAGTTTTAACAAAAAAAATGTTTAATGCTTTAAATATATGCTCCAAAGGGGTGTATCACAATGCCATGTCTTTACATTATTACTAGCTAGTTAGGTTAGTTCATAATAAAATAATCAGGCAACAAAATGTTACATTATGTGGCACATTAAGGAAACAACCCTGTACCTCAGGATTCAAGAAAGCAAGTTCCCTAATACGCCCAGCAATTGTGTTGAAGTCGAACATGATGGAAGTAGTGAAGACTACATAGAGCAGAAAAAGAAAATTGAAAAGCTTACAACAAACAGAATATATGTAAAGGAGTAGCAAAATGATAATTACAAACTCCATCTCTTTATTCCAAAAATAAAAATAAAAAAGAAGGTAATAGAGAAACAAAACCTTCTTTATCGGGCCAAAATCTGATACGCGTCCCTTGCCGATCACTTAATTCATCTGACAGCTTAATGCATGTTAGAGCTGTCACTGGCTTTCCACGAGCATAGCTTTGACGGTATTCCTCACCATCACGCCAAACTGTGACATCCAATGCCTGCGCATAGAAAGATGAATTAGGAGTCCACTTTAAACTACAAACTCAATTTATGTCAGACTGTGTATCAGAAAAGAACTCTAATGTAAAGGATGCAAAGAACACATCAAATCACATAAACACTTTCAACATACAAATTATTTATACTGTAGCAATAAAGCCATGAATTTGCTCCCGCTATAAATCAGGCATCGGATTCAACATCATAAGATGGCCAAGTTCTTTAAATATAGAGGTATATACTATGTGATACAATGATAGTTTTGTCAAAAGAAAAATAGGTCAACAATGTTCAGTACTCATGCTGTAGAGATAGAATAGCTGTTTCTAGACAGCAGCTAATTTATCTTGAAGACAAAGATAATGTTAAATATAACTTTCCACTGCAATACGATTCCAATCATATGAATCACATGGAAGTGAACTCTTTTAACATGCAACTGGAAAGAGTATGCAATGATTTTTCATAGGAAGTGTTACATAACTGAACATGTATCCATAAGTATACATCAATCAATTACCCAAACACCCACATGGAATCAAAATATGTTTAGCAAGTTCACGTATCCCCAACTTTACCATCATAGCATATTACCAACATATCCATCTCAAAAACATGCATCACAAATAACATATCAAGGGCATGATCCAAAAACTTATATGAGTAAAGCCAAGTCAATTTTATAAAATGGTTCAAATAATATATTATTCTGGATGACAGGACGAATTATAAGAAAGGTGATCAAATACGGAAGTCTTGAAAATTACAAACAAAATGGGAGCTTAAAAATATCTAGAAACAGCAAGAAACGAAAAGATAAGACTTCTCTTAAGTTTCTATGACTAGCAACCTTCTATCCTCCTTATGAGTATGCAAGCAGAGATACATGGCACTGGTTAATAAATGACTGTGAATTAAATATGAGTACTAATTAGAGTATGTGGAGCAAGACAGTAAAGAGAACATAAAATTTATATATAAAGACACCAGACAAGGAAATTGATGTGAATTATACAACTTTCTGGCAAAGGAAAATAAATACCTCAGACAAAGCATTAACAACAGATAAGCCCACACCATGAAGCCCTCCGGACACACTGTAGCCACTGCTTGAACCACCAAACTTGCCTCCTGCGTGCAAGACCTAACAAAAATAATACAGGTAGATATATATTTGATATTTAAAGAATTGATTATATACTACAACCAACCTCACTAGCAAAGAACCACAGAAAACAAAAATCAAATTTATACACAGTAATATGCTTCAATGATATAAGCACTGATGCCACATCATCCGACAAAGTTATAAGCTTAAACTTTGTTGTACCACAACCTTCAATCCTTCATAAGTAACCTCTTTAAATAAAAAAGGAAATGCTGATTGCTTGCTTCAAATATTGTTTTTAACTCCAGTAATCTATGTTTAGTAAAGGGAAATTGTACCTGTTGATTCCCAGGCTATATGTTCTACAGATACTTCAACTACTAAGACTTATCAGTTATATGGACACTCCAATACTTATAGTATTTAACAGATACTCCTTTTGACATATCATTAACACATAAAGATTCATTAACAATACTAGCCTTATTTCACGTGCAACAGAAATTAAAACTTAACTAGTCTAACTTTTACACAAAAGGGTCAGTTTAATGCCATAAGTATCATCAATTTTTGCAAGATCATTTTATGCTATTTGTTTATTTAATATGTTATATTTTATTTACTTATTTGAAAATTACTGAAGTAAATTTCAATTTGAACAAGGACATAATTTTCCTAGATAATGTTATTGAGAAGAGTCTTTTTGTCATATTTTATATTCAAATTATTATATTTAAATATTTTTAGTTTTTAAGCATCTAGATATACACTTTAAATAATATTAACATTGGAACATATTAAAATTCTAATATTGTTTTTATTGTATTTATTTTCATCCATTTTTTGGAAAAGAACTTTATCATTTAATACTTATATTTCTTATAATATGCAATCTAATAGATATTTTATTAGTGAACTCTAATAATAAGCTCACATCAATATTTTAGAAAGTTCTAGAAAAAAAAGAAAGAGAAGAAAAGAAATGAAAAAAAAGTACTCCTATGCACTTATGATTCTACCTACCAAATACAATAGAAATGGAGGAAATGTCCACCTCTCATCCATTTTCTGTATGCTGCCACCATTTCCATTATATAATAGTATAGATATCAGACGTGATCTTAGAACTTCCAGGTGCAGATACTGGTCTCACAATTTGATTTGATGTTAGTTTGCAAAAGCATTGATCTCATCTGCTTACTTTCATGCCAAAGGATTGTCATAATTCAAGTATATATTGATGTATGACTTAAAATACTTTAAATTTTAAAATGTTTTGTGCTATCACACTCCACTGATATAACTTACAAATCCTGCAATTGATAAATGTTAACAGAGACAAGGCATGATTTTGTTTTGCCATATCCCCAAAGTATTCATATCCTGATTTTTTTATTTGATGAGCAATTAAATCCAATCATAGCTATACTCCATACCCATACCACTACAACATAGTTCTCAAGACCCTTTTCTGCTGACCATCTTTATAATCATGCTTATAGCACTAACAATAAGATATTTGTTAAATCTTAATGCGAGAAAGGTAGACTAACAAGCATTTAAAAAGGATTACTGGCGCCCAGGTTACCCGGACACTTCATCTAAGCTCCTGTATTCGTGTCCGACACTTCCCGTATCTGTGTCAGTGTCTGACACTTCCTGAATATATACATACATTTATATCAACGTGTACAGTGTACTCAATTATATAACACATATTTTAGTTTAAAACACTTGTGATGCACTTCTTGAACTTATATTTTACATCTCAACCCAAATTTATGCAACTCATTAGACTTGGGGCAGGTTCATTTTGAGCACATACCTAGTTCATAAGAATGATTTTAAAGCGTTCATTTGGGTATCTAGTTCAAAAACAAGTGCTTTTTCAATTTATAATCTACTCAATAATACCCAATAAAAGAAACATGAAAATGGTATATAAGGATTTTAGTTTTCATACCATGTGAATGAAAAACAATATTAATCCCATATAGATTATTAATTTTAATACGGTATATAGTTGTGTCCTCGCATCCTGACTTTTACAATTTTGTCGTGTCCCATTATCAACCCGTGTCCGTGTCTGCCTGCGCACCCATATCCGTGAAACATAGTGGTGCAAATTGATTAAGGGAAAATGTGAAACCTACTTTACATGTGGGCATAAAATGATTAGAAGCAAGTGACTGTAGAAATACCGTTAAAACTGTCTCCAGTGAGGATTTCATCGTCACAGGATGCAAATCTATAGGAATCTGCAGGTATGATATGGATCAGTAAAGATACGTATCAAAAGGGCAATGATCATTTATAAAAAAAAGAACAAAGCAAAACAAAAAAACATAATATTACATATGAATAAATATTCCTTCAACTTGATGATGAACACGATTACTTTAAATAATTAAGTTTGGCATGACATATATGATGTATCTCTTGCATGTACTCCAAAGATCGTACATTATTAACACCATTATAATTTACTTTACTATATTCTTTGATTCTTCGGTATTAACTTTTTTTATAGTTCCATTAAACCATTGAAGTTCACAGAAAACATGTCTGAAGAATCCAACAACAACAACAACAACAACAAAAATAAAAATCTTCATTTCAAAGGAAAGCTACATTACAGGCATTTTACCCAAAAATATATGACTTAGAAAGAATACAGCCATACCCCTCGTCCATTATCAGTGATGCTAACAGAATTATCCTCATGTAAAATTACATCTATCTTTGAGGCATAGCCTGCTTGAGCTTCATCAACAGCATTATCCAGAATTTCATATACCTAAATACAAGACAAACAAATTAAGACTTAAGACAAATAAATATAAGGAAATAAATTGGAAATAAATACTATTATTCACCAAATGATGCAAACCACGTGGTCCAGTACTGCCAATATACATTCCAGGTCTTTTACGGACTGGATCTAATCCTTCCAACACCTGTATGTGGAGAATTGTCAATAAGTGAGAAAAGAATAAAGGAAGTGGTAAGCCAAATAAACTAATAACAAAGTCTAGACATTTAAAAAAATACAGTGTGAACCCTTCTTCCTAAGTTCCTATGAAGCAACTGTAACACTACTAAGGCTATCTCAAGGTCTTTTGTGCTTGTTGACAAGAGCCTGGGATTTGATATTTCATAGAACTCCAGAATACACATTACTAAGCACAGCGGAGGAGCAATGAAATGTTTAACACGACATGATCCACTAACAACATCTATATAGGTTCGTGCGATCCCAAGAGGGTTTTTCTTGTGCCATAGAAACAATTTACAATAAAAGGAACATCACAACTTCAGAGACAAACTTCAACTAAAGAATCCTACTAAACTGGTTATATTAACTAGATTCACTATATAAAATCCAGCTACTAAAGTAAGATAGTATAGTCATAAAGATACAGTTTTTATGACAATCCAACACCTCAAATCAAGTATCAATGAAAGAGAAAGACCTGAATCTGCTCAGAACCGTAAGATTGTGACCCAGGCTTCCCCTGTAGAGCTTCAGAAGCTAAACTCGAGGACATGAAAGCCCTAACTCCAACCCCATTGCTCCGCAAACGATAACCGCTGTTGCTGCTGCTACAAACCCTACTAAAACCCCAAACTTCAATTCCAAAGACGAACAGAAATACAACACCAAATCACTAAAAAGCCTACCTTGCTCTGATGAGAAGGCGAGGGCGCCGGCGAGAGAGAAGAGACGAAGAGGAGAAGAAGAAGCGACGGGCGACGAATCGGAGAGAGAAACAAGGCGGAGGCTTGAGGAGCGCCATTTTTTATCGATAAATTTGGTGAGAAACTTCTTGTGTGTTGAGATGGGTTTTGCTCACTCTTTTGTTTAGTTTTTTGTGAGGCTGAAGATTGGAGATAGAAAGGGAGGGGTTTTTGTTTTCCCTCTTAAACCCTAATTTTTCATTTTTCATTTTTCATTTTTTATTTTTATTTTCACGTGATGTTTGCGGGATACCGAACCGGTACGCGAAAATTTAAGGGGGCTTCTCAAAATGGACCTTAATATAATTTTATTTATTTATTTATTTATTTTGATTAATATTAGTCCAGCACATCTTCATATATTTAAGGACAAATTTTCAAAAGAGCCCTAATTTCAAACTTAATCCCTAAATACGATCCCTTTCAAGTTTATTTGGTTTCAGCCTCAGGACACTTTTGGAGAAAAAAGTTCTCAAACTTCATGGGACTTCAAGTCCCGTGAAGTTTAGCAGTTATTTTGTTAAGCTGCTAAACTTCACGTGACTTGAAGTCCGTGAAGTTTCAAAGTTTAAAAAACTTCACGGAACTTCAAGTCCCGTGAAGTTTTGTTTTAACGCTGAAACTCCACGGGACTTAAAGTCCTGTGAAGTTTTAGGCTCATTTTCTAGAGAATCGCGGCTCTGGAAAATTAGAACTACAACTCCACGGGACATCAAGTCCTGTAGAGTTTTCGCTCTGCCTATATAAGACAGAAGCGATGTCTGACCCGTAACCTAGCCCCACTCCTCCTCTTAAACCCGACTCCCTCCACATCTGGCCCTC